AACCCAACTCCCCTGGTGTTCAGTATTACCAACAAATTCAAACCATAAAATAATGTTTTTACGTTTTATTTTATTTATGAAAACATTTTTTTAATTTAAATACTATCTTAACAAGAAATAAAATGTAAGATAACAATCGAAATAAACATTTTTTTTCATGAAAAAAAATATCGTCTGCTTACAAAATTGCGAAACTGAGCATGCGCGAAGTGACAGTATCGTCTGGTAAAGTAAATAGTCGACAAGTAAGTTCAAACTTTTATGTTTATTTATTTAACAATAAATGTAGCAGTTGTGATAAATGGGTACATTGTTCTTGTGCTAATATTGAAGAAAGCGATAGTTTAACCATTTTAATTTGTCCTTCTTGTAGTCTATAGTCTATAAAAATAAAACCCCCATCTTACCTCATAGGTGGGGTAAGATGGTGCATTTACATATAGACTAATTTTAAAATATTAAATCATTTTTGCGTTAAAATACATTGGAGTAAATGATTTTGTAATTATTTAACATTCTTTGTACTTTCCTATTTGTTTTTGGCTACATTAAAGCATTTTTTGAAAACATACAGTAAGGTTCCATATTACCACCCGATTTTCTCTAAGACTACTTTCTGACTTTTTGTACAGTACAAAAGCCTTCAAAAACCATACTTATAGTTACACTAACGAAAAATCCAATTGGGAACATTTAGTTTAATAGTTACAAGTACTTTTTGCACAAAAAATATGGGTGCAGTTATGATACCTTGTTTACAATTCACTAAAATGTAATTGGGGTTCCATAATACCACCTTCTCCTCTAACAATATTTTTTTATGATCTGAGTACGAGCCAGGTCTTGAAGGACTTTACTCTCAGCCATATGATTGTTTATGTGTATTGTGGTCAGTCTGATCCGTACCATACTCAATGTGTTGTTGATTTTTTCGGATAGTGTTTTTTCTTTTACAAAATATAAGTTGTATTCTTATGTTTTTATTATAGTTATAGTTTGTTTGTGAAAATTTCGGTTTCAACTTGTGAACATTTTTACAATAAAAAATTAAATTTTGACATTTGTCATGTTATTAAGAACCACATTTTTGAAATTAAAATCTTTCTAAGAGGTAATAAGAAACTAATAATTGTGAGAAATGAAAGAAATGTTGCATTTTCCCATCAAAAATAGACAAAGAAAACATGCCAGTAAGTGAAAGAGATTATGTAGAAACTGCACTATTAGGATGTGTACAAAATATGAGTTATACCACTCTCGAGATATGACACGTTACAACACTCTATCTTCCCAACCCAAGAGCTATGATGTTATTAAATAATAATAAGGAGCATTAATGCTATTAAATTAATAAGGAGTATCAATGCTCCTTGTATACGTGCTACCATGCCAAATTCCGTTTCTTATAGACGTCAACACATACATATACGAAATATTTTCTCCTGTTTTTTTACTTTTTATGGGTTGAGGTGGTCTCAAAACGAGATTTACAAAACTTCCGAAGGTCAAATTTGACACGATGCCAATGTTTTCCCTTATTATGCACATGTAACAGCCGAGAAGTAAAATTAAGAAATGTCTTGCTATTTACTTTCAAAATTAAAAAAAAAAAACTAAGTAGGGTCATTTTGACTCGCATCATCTTAATAAAGGGTTAAACTCTTCCTTTCCTTTACACACTTTTACACAACGAGTTAGAATATTCCTTTACACAACACAAATGGCACGCTCCCTTGACTAAAAGGAAAATGGCGGACGTATATTTAATTTTTTTTAAACGTGGCGTCGCTGTAGCCATTCTATGTGGTATATTCTAGCTCGTTGATATAATCACTTGACACCACTGTAGTGTATGTCCGATAGGTCATAAGTCATCCTAAAAATGAAAAAATGACTTA